GCACCAGAACGACCAGACACAGGAACAGCTTCTTCCCTCAGGCCATCCATCTCATGAACACTTAACAATAACTGTGGAACACACACTATTTATACACTCATACACTTATTTATCTAACACTCATACTCAGTCTACACCTAAAATTTGCACATAATATACAGTACCTGTACATACAAAAACTGTCTATTGTAATATACCTGCACATACAATTGTCGATTTATATATTTTTATTCCTTATTTACTTGTTCTATTTTCTATTTTTATTTTTTTTTCTGTGTTTTTTGTTCTGTCACTGTCATTCTGTTACACTGTGGAAGCTTCTGTCACGAAAACAAATTCCTCGTATGTGTAAACATACATGGCAATAAAGCTCATTCTGATTCTGATTCAGCTGTACAGCAGCTCTACAGAAGACAATAGTGCCGTCATCCAGCTTAATTCAGTTCAAATTTTGTCTCATCGGATGGTTCAGTCAGTGTAGTCAAAACTGGCACTAAGATGTCTTATTTCAGAAAAGTATGATCAAATTTACTGTTATTCCTCATGACGTGTAAATTATTGTAATTTCCTTCTTACTTTGGAATGTAACGGTCACTTTTCTGAAATGAGGCAGCTGCAATGATGTATGCGGTTGACAAATGCGAACTCGGGAGGGTGCAGCCTTCAAAATGAGACACAGAAATTGTCTTGTAAAAGAAGAAAGTTAAATGTAATTTTGTGTAAAGTGTCTTAGCTTATACATTGCAATACAAAAACGAATATAGAAGGCAATAATAACACAATGCATTGTGGGATACAGCATTTCAAACAGTGTTATCTGGTTATATATTGCACGATTTGGCAAAAAAAAAAAAAGAAAGTATTTTAGCAGGAAGAGTAAAGAATACACACACTGTGGCAACACACTGATGTGACGTGTGGCCGAGTATGGTGTCCCAAACACAGAACTTATGCTCTGCATTTATCCCATCCAAGCGCGCGCGCGCGCACACACATCGTGAACACACACTCGAAGCAGTGAGCAGCCATTTTTGTTGTGGCGCCCAGGGAGCAGTTTGGGGTTCAGTGCCTTGCTCATGGGTCTCACCTCAGTCATGGTATTCAAAGTTTTCACGTGACATCACACCCTTATAGAAACGCCCACATGGAGGGCAAAACAGGGCATTTCTCAGCTGACCGCCAGTTATTTTTACGAGGTTTGCACTAAGTAGTAACGTAGTGAGTCAGTGATATTTAAATACCAAATTCAGTATCCACATTATTGACGATGCATACTCTGCACAGGCAAGCGGATGAACCCAGAATATAAACGCAATGCGCAAAGTTTCACATTTAATATTTTCCCACAGCAAACCGATATAAAGAAAACACTTAACCATTAAGTGTGCTGTGTTCATATTTCGAGCTCATCTGCTTGCCTGTATAAAATACGCATCAGTGAAACGTTTTTGATCTTTTAATATCACTGTTTTAAAGGCACTTTTCACATTAAACGTTAGAATGTCACGCTGTTTTTAATTGAAATAATGCGGCGGGGGTCATTGCAAATGGCCAAAACTTGCATTTTGTTCACATATCTTTGTTTTTTGCCGCGGGTGTCATTGCAAATGGCCAAAACTTGCATTTTGTTCACATGTCTTTGTTTTATCCTTTTGAGAGATGATCTAAATATTTGTGGATTGGAAACAGATGGAAAATTGACAGGCTTGTGCTGCAGTTCTATGGATGTTTTGCCCGCCAGGACTTCAAGCCTGACACGTGACTGAAAACTATGAATTGAGGGTGGAAGAGAGCGCGGTACATTCACTCCCCCCACCTACAATCGCTGCTGGTACCGAGACTCAAACCTTTGGGTTACAAGTGACCTTTGGGTTACAAGTTCGACTCTCTAACCATTAGGCCATGAATGCCCCAATGTACATAATTTATTAGCATGAACTATTACAAATAATAAATGTATTGACAAGCTTCCACAAATGTAATCAAGCAAGCTATGGCTTGTTCTGTACCTGTGGCGTCGCCATCCTCCAGGTCACAGGTGTGCTGCGTGGAGAGGGAGGCGCTCCACCCACCAGTGGATTTTCTCAGCTGCGGTGCCTGCAGATGCTGGCTGGACTCCTCTAAGCGCTCTCTCAGCTAGAACACAGGGCATGCTCTCAATACAACACCTTTATCTGAAATCAGAGACAATCCCATACCATTTTGTGTTGTACCGATACTCACTGTCGCCATGGCTTCAGCTTGGTCATCTGTGTGTTCCTTATACTCTACCAACATCCGATCTACTTTGTTTAAATTTCGACTTGTATCCTGCACAAAAGCATAAGCTTTAAATTAAAAGACCCCTGCGATCCCTATTCAACACAGAAGAGCCTTCACGTGCAATGAATAAAAACAGCTTACTTGTAGAGTGTTTGCTAAAGAGTCAATTTTGTCTGAAATGTCTGATACACGAGTATCCCTGGGAAACCTGCTGTCAGGCCTCGTTCGGCGCTTTCTGACCCGCCATCGATGCCCCGTGGGTCTGTCATAGGTGTCAGATTCACTGGAGGAGTCCATGCTGACATGAGCCAAAGGATGAAAATAAGAAACAGCACTAATCTGAAATCAGAAACCACCTGTACCAGTCCTCCTGACACAAGCATTATCTGTTTGCCTAGCTGATAGACGTGTGTAATTACAACTGGCGAGAAAGTATTCGCTTAATTAAATGTTTAAGGCTGATTATCACCAGTCTAGTTAATGAAATCGTCAATTTTATATAAACAAAGCTGTAAACAGTCGATTTGTCACAGAATTGACGTTAAAGTAAGCAACTTAGCTTAATGCTTAGTTTTTTTGTTGTTAAAAAGCCGTGTTCGTATGTATAATACAATGCCAAATCACAAAATTACAAGCCACAAACATAAATCTACCCCTACCCGTGTGGCCAGCAGTTTGACGGTTATCTTGTATGATCAATGTGAGGCAACGCCATCTTCTGCTATGGTAACTTAAACTGGCCGCCTAACAGGAAAACAACAAACGCTATGAATCATGGGAGTTGTAGTTTTGACAGGCGCGCACCTGTTACGTTTCAGAAAAAACTCCTTCATATGTTATGTTTTGTTATATAAAATATTTAGATTTTAGTTTGATAACATATTTTTGGCTAATCATATCAGTGTGAATTTAAATTTCAAGGGAGGAAGAGATGTCCTGTTTCCGGGTGAACGATATTTAGAGTGCTTCCAAGGCGGTACTCTGCTGCAACATTCTGGCAAGGAGTTGTTTCATTTATGTTAACTATGTATGTTCATGTTTAATGGTGTTATATATATATATATATATATTATTATTATTATATATATATATATTTTTTTTCCCCTAATTTTTCAATTCCTGTTCCTAATAGCATTTGTTTGTTTCATTTATGTTAACTATGTATGTTCATGTTTAATGGTTATATATATATAAAAAAAAAAAAAAAAATTTCCTATTTTTTTAATTCCTGTTCCTAATAGCATTTGTTTGTTTCATTTATGTTAAATGTTTATGTTCATGGTTAATGTTTTTGGTATATTGTTGTAGCAGAGTGCCACCATGGAATTTGT